GAGCCACCAGCCGTGCCCCTACTCATCCTCCGCATTGCAGCCATCACCTCCTCAAATGTCGGGGCCATGTCAAGTTCATGACGCGGCTCAGCAGTAGGCATGTTATCAATGACATGCATACTAAACTGACTAGCAATGTTGAGCACTCTGTCGAAGTGTGCATGCCAACGCGTAACAAGACTTTCCGGGCTGTCAGTAAGGTGTCCGTCTCCATCATAAACCGCCGAGGGTGTGACCGTACGCCTGCCATCATCCACTCGCTGCAATTTTCGGATGCATTTCCACCTCACACAGCCATCCCTTTGAGCACGCTCAGCATCACCGACCACCTCACGGATCCATTGTTCCTTTGCACACACACACACACACACACACACACACACACACACACACACACACACACACACACACACACACACACACACACACACACACACACACACCTACACACACCTACACACCTACACACACTCTCTCTCTCACATACACACACAAACACACACACACACTCCCACACACTCATCACAGAATAACAACTGCGGGGGGACAGTCACAGCAAGAAAACCAGCTTGCAAAGCAAGAAAACAAAAGATGAGGGACTGCGGCGTACCAGTACGCCCAAAACTGTCGGACCTCGGTCCCAGACCTGTTCGTTCGAAAAGAACAACATTTCTTGTTTATTTCGTAAAACTCAGCCAACAAGAAATGAAAACTTCTGCTATTCACACAAGTCTGTGAGCGTGGCGGCACACGAGTTAGGCTATGATAATCAAGAATCGCTAGCTGATGTGGATCGTTTTGTTAAGTATTTCTGTTCCATTCCATTGTCTCGTTCTCATATATTATGTCAGAAAATTACAGTGCTTATCTAGGATAACCTTTGATCTTAGAACGTTTTACTTGATCTAGATCGTAGATATGTGCGATAGCTTTGTTGACTTTTAGGAGAGCATGTCTGAGGATGTCTCAGGAGACCAGACAATATGTGCAAATGAATCTCTCTTATTTCGCTTGAGTTATGAAAGCACGTTTCCGTAGGGTGTAGATCGACTGTGCAAAGCCGCCTTGGAAAGGTGTCCGAAGGGAACTTAGAAATTGTCATACCCCTCAAAAATGGTCAAAACATCACATGAGTGATGGGTCTGCAAACCAGACATGCCGCCGTGTATAAGACCAACGTAGGAATGTAGCTCCATCAAGCCATCATTACCTCACCTTAGAGGAGTTCCTGGGGAAGCACCGACACAACAACGTGTAGTGTTGACACTGACCAAGAAGAGTAGGAGTGATCATTTATCACTTAAAACGACAAGAATCTCCTTCTCAACCAACATCCTTTTGTGCAACAATTGATGCCAACAACCATTGCAGTTTGAGATGGCGACAGCAAGTTGCCATGTATTTGTTCTTGAGAGCATACGTACAATTGTCACGCATTGCGGGCTGCCAGAATTATGGAAGACCCATCGTTATAAACTAATATGGCTTTTGACGCCCTAGGACACGATATTAAAGTGGCCAGAGCGAACAATTCTGCATCGGAAGTTTTTCTTCGATGCGTGAAGTGAATGTTGAGATCACTTCCACGACTGAGTGAGGTGGTTTCGAGTAATATCGACTCTGTTATGCAATTTCCTTTCCAGAGCTATTGCAGTTCAGTGAGAAATGGAAGGCTTCGAGGAATTCAAGTCTGAGTGCAGTGTGGATTGTAATAAAGTACCACCAATGCCGCCATTGATGAAGTCAAGGAGGAATATGCTCGACCAAATAGCAAGAGAGCATGGTTCATCATCTTTTCCACCATCTTCTTGGTCAATAATTGGCGAATCGAACACAGAGAAAGGGTCGGGTATGGGATCCGCTCCACTGGAAAACAGAGAAGACACGAGTAATATACCCCCTGAGTATACCAGTAGCATAATTCCTGTTTCTCCTCCGCCATTGATAACATGGACGAGGAACACAATTCTTTCAGAAAGGGTTTAAATTTGTCAACCTGCTTTCAAAAGTACATTCTGAACCGCCACCAAAAGCGAAGCAGATGAAGCAACGTGTAGTGTATCGCCAGAAGTGGAAGACGTCGATAACCGGACTTCTGCGTTCAGTCCTTGCGAATAACGTGCATCGCCTGTGGAACAATCTCCTCAGTTTGAGATGGACGACTTAACGCCATCCAAAGCGTCAAATACCGGAGTTTCTGTTGAAAGAATGCGAGAAACATTGGAGCAAACTGATGCGTGTGACATGCCAGTTGAACGTGCGGCCGGACACAATTCTGACTCTTCTAAGGTTGTGGCTCAGAACCAGCATCCAGACAAACGTTCTTAGTGTAAGACATCACAAAGGTGTCAGGTTTGCCAAAAAGAGTTCAAGCACGTCTCTCACTTCCGCGAGCATGAACGTGTTCATACTGGAGATCGACCATTCAAGTGTGATGTATGCGGAAAGTCTTTCACTCAGTCAGGCAGTCTACGTGTTCATAAACGTACTCATAGTGGAGAAAGACGCGTTATGCGGAAGACATGTGTAAGGTCATTCACACAGTCATCCTAACTACATGACCATGAACGTATACATACAGGAGAACGTCCATACAGGTGCTAAGAGTGCTCAAAAGTTCTTCAGAACATCGGCATGTCTTCGTAGACACGAGCGTATTAATAAAAGAAAATGAAAAGCCTAATTTATCGTTTGAAAGTTCTTTAGTATGTGTTACAATGCATTAAATTTTCGTCTCTTCCTGCTCATGTATTCTACGATGACGAGAGATGGAGATAGATAGATAGAGAGAGAGTGTGTGTGTGTGTATGTGTGTGTGGAAATCGCTGTGCATACCACTGCACCATATGGGACACATATACATAGGTTGCGGGTTCGATTCCCGAAGACTATGGTCACACACGCCTTTCTTCTCTTTCTACCAACAGCCAGTGCATGCCGGCGTATATGGTGTGATGTGTGTGCGGGAAAAAAAAGGAAGACCAAAAAAGATCAAAATAAATTGGGATTCACCGGCCAGAAAAAGTCACTTCAAATAGCTGTGTGGTTTAGACCAGGCTGAATAGTGACGGTCAATTCTTCAGCATTGCAAACTGTTGAATTGTGCAATCCCAGCACAAGTTGATATGGCTTCTGCCGTTGCATTGTTATCAAGGGTGTGTGTGTGTGTGTGTGTGTGTTTGTGTGTGTGTGTGCCTGTTTGTGTGTTTGTGTGTGTGTGTGTCTGTGTGTGCGTGTTGTCTGCCAGAAAGCTTGAATACATACGCAGCAGTTTGAAGCAAAGTCCAGTTCTTTATGCTATTCACATCAGTCTAATCGTAACAACACACACGCAATATACAATGATAGTCCAGAATCACAAGCTGATGTGAAATATGTTGTTCCGTATATCTGTTCTATTCCGTGGTCTCGTTCTCATGTATTATGTCAGAAGTTGAATTAATAATAATTTTCAAGTACAACCTTTGATCTGAGAACATTTGTTCTTTAAGATCGTAGATACAATGTATGTGTGAAGGCTGTGTTGCCTTTTAAAGATAGTGTGTCTGAGAAAACTAGACAAAGTGTGCAAGCCGATCTCTCCGGTTTCGCTTTAAAAAATATGGAAGCACATTTCATGGTGTAGATCGACTGTGCAAAGCCTCCTTGAAAAGGTGTCTGAAGGGAAATTTGAAATTGGCATGCCCTCAAAAATGGTTAAAATATCATATGATTTATGGGTCTGTAAACGAGACATGCCACAGCGTATAAGACCAAGCTACGAATAAAGCTCCATCAAGCCCAAATTGCCTGACCTTAGACGAGTTCCTGGGGCAGAACCGCTTTACCACGCGAGCCTCCAAGAAGATGAGGGCCATCACCTACTGACGAAACAAAATTTAATGATCGTCTTGAAAATAGCCGAATTACAAGGGCGGACAAAATAGAGAGTTACGTCCTCATTTACCAAAAACCATTCATTGGCAGATAGTAGAACACCTTTTCTACCACTGAGGACATGTCCCCCATCCTCCTTTTTGCGTTTTCTTGAAAATAATTTTGATTTTTTCCACTCCACCATCCTGAAATACAATGTCCATCCAAACTCAAAACTGTGCAGGAAAGCTCATCCCACCGCGATGTCTGGTCAGTAATAGACCTTTTGCATTCTGTAAACGTAAACGTATTTGGTGAGTGATACATCCTTTACTTGTGTCAGAATGGCAGTTCAGTGCTGAACAACAACATGTAGTGTTGACACTGACAAAGAACAGTAGGAGTGAACATTTATCACTTAAAATGACAAGATACTCCCCAGGCAATCGTTTTGTGCGACAATTGATGCAAAAGTCCATGAGCGCTTGAGATGGTGACAGCCAGTTGCCATGAGCTTGAAGTTGAAAAAGAAACGTATAACTGTCACGCATTGCGAGCTGCAAACCTAACTAGGGCAAGCCCATTAATTTATTGTTATCAACTTCTATTGCTTTTCACACTAGAACACGATATTATAGTTTACGGAGCGAACCATTCGGTACCCGAAATTTTAAATTCACTGCGTGAAGTGGCTACGAGTAATATTGGCTCGGTATACAATTTCCCTTCCAGAGTCGTTGCAGTTCAGTGAGAAATAGAAGACTTTGAGGAGTCGACGTCTGCCAGCAGTGTGGCATCTAATGAACTACCACCAATGCCGCCATTGATGAAGTTGAAGAGGAATAAGCTCAACCAAACTTCTAGAGAGCATGGTCCATCGTCCGTTCCACCATCTCCTGCGTCAAACGTTTTAGAAGAAACCATGGAGAAGCCGTCGTGTATGAGATCCGCTTTACTGGAAAACAGAGAAGACACACGTAGTATTCCCGTTTTATACCAATAGCATAATTTCTGTCTCTCCTCCGCCATTGATAAAATGGACGAGGAACACAATTATTTCAGCCAGTATTTCTAATCGTCAACAAGCTTTCAAAAAACATTCCCAACCGCCGGAAAAAAACGAAAAGAATGAAGCAACGACTAGTATGCCGCCCGGATTGGAAGACGTTGAGAACCGGATTTCTGCATTCAGCGCGTATGGTAAACGTGTATCGACTGTGAAGCCATCTCCTCAGATTGAAAAAGACTCCTTAACTCTAGCCACAACGTCAATTACCGGAGTTTCTGTTGGAAGGATGCGTGAAATATGGGAGCAACCTGATGCGCTTGCCATGCCGGTTGAACGCAGGCGTCATATCGAACAAATCTCTGTCTCTTCTAAGATTATGGCTCAGAATCAGGATCTGCGCAAGCGTTCTAAGTGTAAGACATCACAGAGGGGTCAGTTTTGCCAAAAAGAGTTCAAGTACATTTCTCGCGTCCAGCAGCATGAACGTGTTCATACTGGAGATTGACCATTCAAGTGTGATGAATGCGGGATGTCGTTCTCTCAGTCAGACACTCTATGTGCTCATAAACGTACTCATACCGGAGAGAGACCGCACAAGTGTAAAACATGTGGCTCATCGTTCACACAATCGTCCCATTTACGCGCACATTAACATATCCATTCTGGAGAAAGGCGTTTACGTGCAAGACCTGTATGAGGTCATCGACACAGTAATCTCAGCCACAAAACCATGAACATGTACAGACAGGAGAACGTCCATATACGTGCAGAGCGTGCCGAAAATACTTCAGAACATCATCAAGTCTTGGTAGACACTAGTGTAGTCATATCATAAAATGAACAGCTTAAACTTCGTTAGAAAGTGTTTTACTATCTGTGAAAATGACTTTCTTCTCTTCGTGCTCATGAATTGTACAAATATAATACAGAGAGAGAGAGAGAGAGAGTGTGTGTGTGTGTGTGTGTGTGTGTGTGTCTGTCTGTCTGTCTGTTAGAAAGATAAAAATTATATAGATTCGCACCACATTAAACAAAATTAAATCATCAATCTAGACTATGATAGTCCAGAATCACAAGCTGATGTGGATTATGTAGTTCTGCATTTCTGGTCTATTCCTTGGTCTTGTTCTCATGCATTAAGTCAGAAGTTAATAGTATTGTTCTGGTATAGCCTTTGAACTCAGAAGGTTTTACTTTATATAGAAAGAAGATATGAGCGAAGGCTTTGTTAACTGAGCATGTCTGAGAAGACTACAACTTGTAGACAATATGTGCAAGTGGATCTCTCCGATTTCGCTCAAAATTTGCAGGCACGTTTCCTTGGTGTGTAGATCGACTGTGCAAAGCCCTCGAAAAGTAGTTTGAAAGGGAACTTTGAAATTAGCATACCCTCACAAACGGTCAAAACATCACATGATTAATGGGTCTGCAAACGAGACTTGCCACAGTGGGTGTGTACGAATATAACTCCTTCAAGCCGTAATTGCCTGACCACAGAAGAGTTCCTGGGGCAGCACCGGTTAGCCACGCCAGCATCCCAGAGAGATAAGGGCGATCATCCCCTGACGGAACAAATGATCGTCTTGAAAATATTCATATTTCAAGGGGAGACAAAATAGACAGCCACGCCCTCCTTTAGTAAGAACTATTCATTGGCATATAGTGGAACACCTCTTTTAGCACTGACGACCCCATCCTCCTTTTTGCGTGTTCCTTAAAATTGTTTTTGAATTTTTCCACTCCACCATGCCGAAATACAATGTACATCCAAACTCATAACTGTGCAGGAAAGCTAACTCCTCCGCGACTTCTAGTCAGCAATAAACCCTTTGCATTCTGAAAAGTCAATATTTGGTGAGTAATAGATGCTTTACTTGTGTCAGAATGGCAGGTCAGTGCCGAAGAACAACGTGTAGTGTTGACACTGACAAAGAACAGAAGCAGTGATCCTTTATCACTTCCAACGAAAAGATTCTTCTTTGGCAACTAACACCTTTTGTGCGGCAATTAATGCAAACGTCAATGGCACCTTGAGATGATGACATCAAGTTGCCATGTACATACTTGAAGTGGAGATTGTACGTAAAATTGTCACGCCTTGCGGGCTGCCAGAATTATGGCAAATCCGCCATCAACTAATAATGGTTTTTCACACTAGAGCACGATATATTGGCTCGGTTATGAAATTCCCTTCCAGAGTTGTTGCGGTTCTGTCTGTGAAAAATGGAAGACTTTGAGGAGTCTAATTCTGGCTGCAGTGTGGATTCTAATGAATTACCACCAACGCCGCCATTGATGAAGTCAAAGAGGAATATGCTCGATCAAAGGCCTAGACAGCATGGCCAATCGTCTGTTCCACCATTTTCTGAGTCAAAAATTGGCGAAGCAAACATGGCGAAAGCGTCGTGTATGAGATCCGCTTCACTGGAAAACGGAGAAGACACGAGTAGCATACCCCTGAATATACCAGTAGCATGTTTCCTGTTTCTCCTCCGCCATTGCTAAAACGGGCGAGGAACACAATTCTTTCGGCCTGTAATTCTAATCGTCAACCAGCTTTCAAAACGACACATGGAACCGAACGCAAAAGCGAAAGGGATGAAGCTACGTCTAGTGCACCAACAGCAATGGAAGACGTCGAGAACTGGACTTCTGCGTTCAGCGCCTATAATACACGCGAATCGCCAGTGAAACCATCTCGCCAGATTAAAGTGGACGTCTTAACTCCAGCCACAGCGTCAAATGCTGGAGTTTCTGCTGGAAGGATACGTCAAGCATCGGCACAACCTGATTCGTGTGACATGCCAGTTGAACACAGACGTCCTATCCAAAGATTATCTGACTCTTCTAAGGTTAGGGCTCAGAATCAGGATCCGTCCAAGCGTTCTAAGTGTAAGGCATCACGAAGGTGTCAGTTTTGCAAGAAGGAGTTTAGGAACGTTTCTCATCTCCGCGAGCATGAACGTATTCACACTGGAGATCGACCATTCAAGTGTGATGTATGCGGCATGTCTTTCTCTCGGTCAAGCACTCTATGTGTTCATAAACGCACTCATACAGGAGAGATTCATTGCATTCCCAACTCATCACAACCACGCGCTCTTCAGCCGAACCATACAGACACCAGCAAGGACACTTCCGTTGAGAGATAATAATTATTGCTCCACGCCTCTAGACAGCTGTTTCGCTCCCTGTCGGAGCTCATCAGTAGAGGATGATAATGATGATAATGGAGGAATGATCATTCTTATACACAAGAAATGGCGCAAGTGCGCGCTTTCCACATATATCAATGGCATATGCAAGCTGCTAAAATGGTAAAGTGTGAGAACAGCGATAAATAATCATAGTACGCGCTCATTGGTGGAGAAACACACCACACAGGCGACGAAAATCTTACGCGGAATACTGATGCCAAAGGAAAGTACATGTATGTTGTTTATTATTATGATGTTGCAATGTCCATGTATGCAGGCCAGGCGAGACTCACCGCCGAGATCCCCCAACGCGACAGGCTCGGTTGCCGTTCAGGATTCACACCGACCTGTCCGCCCGTCAACAGGATCGACAGCGGGAGGCCCCACTGATGCCGATGTCGATGCACACCAGGAAACTTGTAGTCGTGAGTGTGATACTAACACGTCCATCGGCAACCACTGACAAACGAGAGGCCAGCTGGGGCATTCACTCCAGTCAGGGATGCTTGGTCGACGCTTCGTATCAGCAGCTCAGCTCATTTTGATCAAACAAAGATGTTGCAGATGTGTCTTGCTTTTCTCCTTCCTTCTTCACCGACTCGTCTTGTCATCTCTCCTTCTTTCTTCACCGACTCTTCGTGTCCACTCTGCTCTGCCACTAACGGCGCATTAAAACTTCATACAGGAGAGAGACCGCACAAATGTAAGACATGTGGCATATCGTTCACGGATTCGTCAAATTTACGCCAACATGAACGTATCCATTCTGGAGAAAGACCTTTTAAGTGCAAGGCATGTGTAAGGTCGTTCACGCGGTCAAGCAATCTACGTGACCATGAACGTATTCATACAGGAGAACGTCCGTATAGGTGCGAAGAGTGCGCAACGGTTTTCCAGTGTGCATCAAGTCTTCGTAGACACGAGCGTGCTATTCATACAATAAAATGAAAAGCCAAAATGTCGTTTGAAAGTGTTTTACTATGTGTAAAATGCATTTAGCCTTTTCGTGCTTTCAACTTCTAGGAACAAGAGCGAGAGAGTGAGAGAGAGAGAGAGAGAGTCAGAGAGAGAGAGAGAGAGAGAGAGAGAGAGAGAGAGAGAGAGAGAGAGAGAGAGAGAGAGAGAGAGAGAGAGAGAGAGAGAGAGAGAGAGAGAGAGAGAGAGAGAGAGAGAGAGAGAGAGAGAGAGAGAGAGAGAGAGAGAGAGAGAGAGAGAGAGAGAGAGAGAGAGAGAGAGAGAGAGAGAGAGAGAGAGAGAGAGAGAGAGAGAGAGAGAGAGAGAGAGAGAGAGAGAGAGAGAGAGAGAGAGAGAGAGAGAGAGAGAGAGAGAGAGAGAGAGAGAGAGAGAGAGAGAGAGAGAGGGAGAGAGTGAGTGAGAGAGTGCATAAAAGTGAGGGAGAGAGTGTTTGTGTTTGAGAGTGTTTGTGTGTTTGAGAGTGTTTGTGTGTGTTTGAAAGTGTTTGTGTGCGTGTGTGAGAGAGAGAGAGAGAGACAGAGACTGTGTGTGTGTATGTCAGAAAGTTAGAATACATTCGCAGCAGCTTGAAAAAGTCCAAAAAGCCTTTGATGCTATTCACACAAGTCTGATCGTAGCCACACATGCGATAGACTTTGGTAGTCCAAAATCGTATTCTGAGGTGGATTATTTTGTTTTGTATTTGTGTTGTAATAAAGGATCTCCTTCTCATGTATGATATGTGAAATTAATAAATCTGCCAAGCCTAGGGTCACCAAGACTGGTATCCTTACCCAACCGATCCTGTGTTGATAATTGTTTTTAGTTCTCACGAAACCTCTGCTGAAACCTGCAGAAGAAGGGCACCATTGAGAACTTTTAAATCCTTTCCATAACGGACAGCCTAGACAGACTTTTTCTAATGATTGAGGCAGACAATACTGAAGGCAATAGCCTAACTATTACATGTAGTATCTCAAGAGTAGGTAATGACCGTCAGCTATCCTCGTCATTAAAAGTAAAAAGTAAAAAATAAAAAAGTAACACCCGATAAACCCTAGCGGCAGATGCAGCGCTTAACGGTAGGGGTGAGTGGATACGTCTCACAACCACTGGCACAAGTGCCGAAAATGACCCCATTAGCTGCCTCGCTCTATTGCATGTGAAGAATGTGTTGAGATCCTTTCAACCATGGATAGTCTATAAAGTCATTCACAAATGATGGAGGTAGAACATTGCGAAGGGAAGAGCATGTCACTATAAGCTATATATGGTAACGATCGTCAGATTATTCTGGCACTCTTGCAGGTGAATAATGTGCTGTAAATTGCAACACATATCAATGTTTCTACTGGTGCAGTACATATACATGTAATCACTTCTTACCCTTCACCCGCGTGTTGACAAGTTGACTTGGACGAGAGAGAGAGAGTGGCACGCCCAGAACAATAATAAAGTAAGGAATTTGAAGAAAAGAAAAGGACATATGGATACGAGTTAAGATTAACTCTCCATCACTGTAACTGGATACTATATACAGTCAGAAAGTGCAATAACCAAGCACAAAACTGACAAGAGTACTGAGACATTCGACGTCCTGACACCTAGCTTCAACACATCTCCGTAGCGCTAACCGACAGCCTTCCAACTTGGAAGGTTCAAGGTTATGAAAAGACCAAAGAGGGGAAGGCAAGCGCAACGAAAACGAGCAAAAGCTACAGTCCCAACGGAACAAAAAATGTCGATTGTTACTGGACGATGACGGGACCAGTACGATATTTGCTTTGCTGCTTCGAATTGTAGTTAGACCGCTTTGTCAAATATCGTACTGGTCTCGTCATCGTCCAGTAACAATCGACATTTTTTGTTCCGTTGGGACTGTAGCTTTTGCTCGTTTTCGTTGCGCTTGCCTTCCCCTCTTTGGTCTTTTCATAACCTTGAACCTTCCAAGTTGGAAGGCTGTCGGTTAGCGCTACGGAGATGTGTTGAAGCTAGGTGTCAGGACGTCGAATGTCTCAGTACTCTTGTCAGTTTTGTGCTTGGTTATTGCACTTTCTGACTGTATATAGTATCCAGTTACAGTGATGGAGAGTTACTCTTAACTCGTATCCATATGTCCTTTTCTTTTCTACATTTATTTATGGCTCAACATCCGAGTAAGGAATTTGAAGTAGATTTTAAAAGGAAAACAATACAAAAACGAAACAGTAATCCCCAACAACGGAAACAGCTACACAATGAAAAATAGAAATGAAAATAATGCCTACAAGAAACACAAATCGCACACAACCACACCAAAATTTAACGCTTCATACCAGAAGTTCCTCAAAAGCGCCAACGGGACTTGAAAAGACACAGCAATAAAAAATAGAGTCAATGAGTCAAAGTGAGGCAAAAAAGAGTCAAAACATGTACATGATTCATTAATGCGGCAGGTGAGCTGCAGGTCTTTTCTCAGTTTGACGGTGACAGCATCACACACTGCGAAGGAAACACTGTATGAACACAGTATTTTCTTGCATGGTTTGCACGGGACTAAGCGCCGGCGGATTATGCTCGCGATATCATGGAATTATGCTTTCATGGATGCTCGCATTATGCTCGCAAATCTTCACATTATGCTTTGGAAAGGGAGATCATTATTCACTTTGTTGTTCTTATGGAGCCTCAAAGTTCGGAAAGGTGGGTGTTTTCGTACTTGCAAGTAGCGCATGGCCATACTCAGTACACACAAATAGAGTATCCTCGACCAAGGTGTCCATGCATGCCAGAGATCAACATAGAAAAGAGAAAACATTACATTACTTCTTATATTCATTAGTTGAAATATTTTGAAAAATATGTTTAATTGCCAAATTAGTTTGTAGAAGAAAAAAATGGACCAAGGGATTACAAGTCACGCTATAATGTCCACTCACACCAACAGTTACAAAACAATCAGCTCATAGTTTGAGTTACCTTTGAACATTGTCATGTTCAATTGTCTACGTACTCGTACCCGTCATAGTCGTCCAATATGTCAACCTCACCCTGCGAAGAATTTACCCATCTCTCCCGCAGCTCCAACTCTCCTTCCATCATGAGATTGAGTGAACATCAGCCACTAAAAGCCACATATATAACTAAGTGCTAACACTAACGAGTTAACGAGGAGAACTTTTTTTGTCGTTAAAATAGAAATCGTTATACAGAAATCGATACATATACTGTCCTATTGAGCGTTGAGAATGAGTGAGAATCGTTATCTTTATTATTATTATTATTATACGCATTTCCGCGGCAGCGTCAACCAAGCAGTTATGCTTGACCCACACGTTCGCTTATGCTGGACATTGAAACAGAGCAGATGCAGATATCTCCTAGAGAATGGGGCTCTACAAACCAATGATCGAAGTCAGTACTTCAGTAACATAGAGGAACACGGAGCGTCATAAAATTGGTGTCATTGGGGAAAACGTCATCATTATTGTCTCTTCATATAGCATCATGGTCAATGGGTGGCAGGACAATTATAATGTACGAGGTTGAGTTTCCAGATTGTTATTAAACGTAAGTTATGGTGGAAATGGTGGAGTGAACTGCAATTGCGCATTTTCACGCATTCAGTGGCACCTCAAAGGGTTAAAGATTCAAATAGTAATTATTATAGAATGTTACAAAAAATGTATTATCTACGCATGCATCTACGCAAGAGTCACCACCAGCCAATTAGGACATATGTCAAAGTATTGAACATTTTCGTTCCCTTCTTGTCAAAATACTACAGGGAATGATGGAAATAAGCTAAAAGACTACAACTACAAGGAAAAGAAGTTCAGAAATGTATTACTCCAATTATGGGTTGAAGTGACACGAAAAAAAGATGTGAAGAATGAAGAAAACATCATGCAAATCCAATAAGTGACAAAAACGTACTGACAAGAAAAAGAGAGAAATATCAAGAGATCAAGGGATCTATTTCGCAACTTCACGACGAACAGTGCCAAACAACTGCAAAGACAACACATTCTCCTTCTGAACACAAAGCTCAGGGTCCAACTTACGTATGTACAAAGCTTCCAACACGGCAAGATGTAACAAAGACCTACCACGCGACAAAACAGAGAATACATCATCGGAATACCACTCACGACAACTAGCACTGCCCGACAGGTGACACTTGATTGCCGAGGTACCGTTTCCCTGACCCGACGACTTGGCCGTTGTCACCTCCGATCCTGCCGCTTGCGAATCTCTCCCATTACGCCCTGCGTCCCTGCAAATCCGATTGCCTCGGTCGAGATCAGTGTGCTGCTCCACGTCCAGTCTGTCCTGCTTCCGTGGTCTACCTCGTTTCTTCACATTAACCGTTGTTGTCACTTCCAGTATTGGTTCTTTTGATTCGTCATCGATTCCTCTCCTCAATTGGCTTCTGGTGAGGAGACGAAACAAAATGGACGAGGAACACAATTCATTCCGGCAGCATTTCTAACCGTCAGCCAGCTTTCGAACAGATATTTCGAACAGCCGACAAAAGCGAAAGGCATGAAGCAACTTCTGGTACACCTTCTGAAATGGAAGATGAACTGGATTTTAGCGGTCAGCGGGTATGAGAAATGTGAATCGACTGTGAAATCATCTCCTCAGTTTGAAATGGACGCCTTAACTCCAGCCACAGCGTCAAATATTGGGATGTGTGCTGGAATGATACGTGGAATATAGAAGCAAGCTGATGCGTGTGACATGACGGTTGGAAGCAGGCGTCCTATCCGACGAAATTCTGACTCTTTTAAGGCTATGGCTCAGAATCAGGATTCACGAAAGGGTTTTAAGTATAAGACGTCGCAAAGGTGTCCGTTTTGCCCAGAAGAGTTCAAAAGAGTATCTCAGCTCCGCGAGCATGAACGTGTTCACACTGGAGATCGACCGTTCAAGTGTGATGTATGCTAGAAGTCTTTCACTCAGTCAGGCAGTCTCCGCGCTCATAAACGTACTCACACTGGAGATCGACCATTCAAGTGTCATGTATGCGGCATGTCTTTCTCTCGGTCAAGCACTCTGTGTGTTCATGAACGTACTCATACCGGAGAGAGACCGCACAAGTGTAAGA